ATCCAATTACATCCGTTTTAGCGTCGGACACAGTAACATACATATTTTTCGTTCGTGGAGCGGTCAACTCTGGAATGAACAGAATTACGGATATTGTAATTTTTGATAGCCATCATCGCTTCTTCCTTGCTTGAAAACTCCATACCTAAAGATAACTCACCATTATTTATTGATGGGTAATATCCATAGTCACCGAGATGAGGCATATCCGCAAATTCTGGTCCGTACATTGCATCATAATCAGCTTCATACATGTATGCTGGAGGGTCAGTTTGTGCCATATTTGCTGGAACTTCATCTACATCATCATCACCATCGGAGTTGAATTGCGGTGATTCTGGGTGAATGAATAGTCCAGTCTCAGCACCATTCGCACCAGGCTCACGAAGCGGTTCTTCTGGTGGAGATTATGGTTCCTTCGTGCTCTCCACATTTAGGTCGAAGAACCTACTACTGGCACGCCTTCCCCTTGAACTATAAGGCATATCTGGATTGAGATCGAAAAAGCTTGCAGTCGAATGCCTCCCCCTAGAGCTTGAAGCCATCGTGTCAAATGGAGACTGCACAGATTGTTGCGTCGATGGCATCTCCATATTAAGGTCAAAGAAATTTGCAGATGAATGCCTTCCCCTTGAACTGGACGCGATGTTGCCATACAGATTGTTCGTGAACCCACCTTGGTACATATCATAAGGAGTTGCGGATGAATGTCTTCCCATTGAAGTTGATGTGCCGGCACCATGATGTGGATTTCCCATTATGGCATTAAAATCATTACACATTACTGTAGTCGGACTGTCAACTTGATCAACTTGTTCAGCCAACCCATAGTGTGAGCTTAATGGTTGACCCCGAACAGCACGCACTTGAACAAACTTTGCATACATCTCAATATCGTCGTATGAATAATTACTTTGAGAATCAGCCATCATTTCAACATCATCATTGTTCGATAGTTCGAACACTGTATAAATTGGCAAAAATGATGTTGGAAATCTGTACTGCAACGATGACATTCTTCTACTACTTCCAACATGAAACTTCCTGGAAATCTTCGTTATCAGCTCCTCAAGAGTTATGTTTCTCTTGAATGATATTTTAACACGCTCATTTGATACGAAAACAACGCCGGTTTCATCTTCTCGAATTTCTCCATCATAATAAACAATAGCTTAAAGTCGCATCATTCTTAGAATTTAAAAATGCAACAATATTATATATGCAAAAAAAAACAATTGAAACAAACCTGATTAAATAAATAATATATGACAAAAAATATAACAGAATAAATTTTTTACACATAAACGTAAATAATTTAAATAATATAATTTTATATTATTACCTGCATCGCAAAAATATTTCGACGTATGCTCCCACTTTCTAATTCTACAAACACAGAAATTAATTGAAAACAATTAGTATAATATTTTTTCAAATAATCATATATAACTATAAAATAAATATTATAACAAAATTACCTTATAAAGAAAGATCGGGCAAACTTCTGAATCAAATATAAGATGATTGTCAGATGTTATTTACTAATTCAAAAGATTGTTGGTGAGAGAGTTTACGGGAGACAACTATTTATAGCCGAGAGAGGATGTCTTAAAGCCGAGAGGTTTGGGAAAATAATGCAAGGTGCGGTCCTTGCACCGCGCCTTGCATTAGGCATGTTTAATAATTGAGATAATTGAATAGCGCGGCCCCTGTCCCGCGCTATATATTACATGGCGTATGACACGGTCTCTGTCCCGCGCCATACACACGTGTATTCATGTCAACATAAGGCGCGTCGCAGGGGGCGCCTTACTGCAAAAGGCGTTAGATCAAAAAATATAATCTGACCAGTGCCTGATCGAAAATATTAAATTAAGAATATAATTTTACGAGAAAAACGTCAATTATCTTTTCATGTACTGTTAAAGGTATTAAAAAGAAGTATTGTAACGTAAATCAAAGACTAGTTTGAATGGGGCGAGGAGGGGGTTTTCTGTCACTGCAGTGGTCTTTATATGGCAATGGAGGAAATCGTGCATGTCCCGCCGCCACAGCCTTGCATGTTTCACGTAACACATGCTTCACTTTCTCTAAACTAACACGCGCTTCTGCCAGGCATTTCCTTTTCAACTCGTGTTTCGATTTTATTACTTTATTTTTTTTGTAAAATTGGTCCAAAAGATTGAATTTTGTACATCTTAGTACCTGCAAATTTACAATCGTTATTCATTACCAAATGATGCATAGTAATTAGGGTAGCGTCGAAGACAATAAGCCAGCTCAGAAAATATTTAACATTATATCAAAATATTATGTTATATTAATATCAATGATTGTATAACCAAATTTAAATAAAAATATTTTTTTTATAAATTTTAAATCCAATTTTAATTCTAACTAGAGGGGATGGGAATTATGGTATTTATTTAAATAAAAATGTCAATGACTGTAGTATTTGTTTAAAGGTATTCAACCATTTAACAATAAACGCTCGTACCCTTAACATTTTATTCTAACTCGAATCCTCAAAGAATAACAAGTCCTTTAATCACTGAAATCGGTTGATTCGTCCATAAAAAATAATATTTTATAAACGAAGTCCAATTGATTCTCAATCATTTAACAATAAACGATTGTACTGCTGACATTCGGGGTATTCAAACCCGAATCCTCAAAGAATAACAAAAAAATCCTTTAATCACTGAAATCAATTGATTCGTGCACAAAAAACAATATTATATATACAAAGTCCATTTGATTTAATATAATTCGACTCAACCAGTTAGTCTAGTCCAATATACTTCTCTATTAGTAACAAAATATAGTTTTACATTTACGTTAATTTTTTTTATAATCATAATGTTCGATTTATTAATTGATTAATTAGGATCATGTACTGTAGAGGCGAAAACGATCATCCCAACATAATTTGCTTCATTCTTAAACGTCAATATTTAAACTCCTGAACTTGCTTAAGGAATCTAGTGCCTCGTCCTACTGATTATTGGTTACATTAATGTTTCTTATAGTTTAAGAACCTTTCATTTTCTGAATATATACACACATAAATATATTTAAATATGATACACGAATATAATTTGAATATAAAAATCCAAAAAATCAAATATATTAAATTTTAAATATATATTTATATTTGCTATTTATTTTCGAGTCCAAACATAAGCATGCTAAAATGACAAAGTACATCGGCTCTCGACCACATCTAACAATGTTGCTAATTTCTCTTGTCGTTTCTTTCCTATGAGAAAAGTGACGCAATGATTGACCGCCACAAAAATAATAGTATAATTTTAGAGGGGAGAAAAAAGATTGTACCATAGAAAATATATTAAACGAACATAGACAAATGGAGGAGTGAACGAATTAAACCACATATTCTTAAGTGCAGGTCACTGTTCAAACTTCAAATCTTAAGTACTCGACATTATTAGCTTGGACTGATTCCACATGTTTTTTGGTAGTTAACGAGGATATTGAGACCGGGATTTGGTAGTTTTGTGTTTTGTATCTTTTTCTACAAGCGTGCAGATATGCTTAAACTAAGGTTGGAGATAACTATATAAGTTGATTGAGCATTTGTCGGTATATATATATATATATATAATTTTGCAGCGACTATGATCTAATAAGTTAAAATTGATAATCACAATTAATGCTTCGTCCTAAGATTATTCGTTCTCTTTTGGCTTCGGTCTCGACTTAATTTTTAATTTTGAGATTTATTCAATAAAATTGAATTGACTCTTTCTTATTTTCTTAAGATGTCTGAGAATTTTTGGCACTGATAAAGTAGAGTCAAATGGTGTTTAAATCCAATTCAGGTGTATGGAGTGAGAAGGGCTTTGAAGGAACAAGGATACCTTTGCTGGTGAAATCCAGAGCGGCAGATATTAGAGAGTGACCGCATGCATGGCACCATTCCCAAAGATGATCAAAATGACGTCAACAAATCTCATTTCTCGAAGTTGCCGAGATTTCGATGTTGGTTTCTGCAATAAGATTCAGTAGGTCGCAATGGCGTGATCAACCTTGTCAAATCATCATCCAAACCAAAGGAATGGAGAGAGTCCGTTCCAAATGGGAACTATGAGTGAAAACCCAACCATGACCGAAGATAAACACATGGAGAGTAAGGGGCGGGGCCTCTTTTTCTTGTTCTATTTTGTTTGCTGACATTATGGAACCCCTATGGAACAAGACGCATAGGTAGTCTGGCCTAAGTCTGAACTAAAACTGTATAAAATAGCATCACATTTTGTTCCCCTTTTGGTTCTTGTGTCCATGTTGTACCTACCGCACCGCATTCCATGTCCCATGCATCCTATCTTTCCCATTTTAGAGTCTTTGTTTTTTTACTTTTGGGTAAACTACATCCAGGTTTACTTTTGTTTGTGTTAAATCTTTTTTTGATCCTTGAACTTTCAATTGTTAAGTTTCAACTATTTACATCATTTATTTATTTATTATAATATAATCATTAAATCGTTAGCTAATTTATTAACGATAACAGTTTTATGACATCTAAATTATACAAAATGTTATTTAGCCCGTATATAGGTAGAACTAAAAAAATTATTCCATTACATATTTAGTCATTTTCAGTTCTAAAATTAATTAAATTAAGCACTATCCCTAAATTTGCTGATTCAATTGTATTTCAGATTTTTTTAATTTTAAGATTAATTGAAATGGTTGTAACAAATATTAATTAGATACATGTTAAATTTAAAGTTAGATAAATTAAATATTTTTTTACAACTCTAATGTTATTTAGATCTGTATTATTTTCTAATTTTAAACAAATTATTTTTTCTAATTTAAATAGTTGTACTTTTAATTCTTTATAATTTTACAATTAGACAATTTAAATAAAAACAAGACACATTGAATCCATAGCTGAAGCCCAAATTCAAAACCCCGGTTCCTTAAACCTCGCTTTGCTATCCAGATAGAAAGGCGACTCTGCAGACAGAGCTGCGATGGAAGAAGAATACGAAGAGGAAGCGACGGCGGCACCGTCGAAGCCCCGAGGTCTCCACATAAAGAAAAGAGCTCTAAAAAACAAAGCACTCACCGTTCCTTTCAACGAGAAGGATCTCAGGTACCATACCACACGCACAACACATTCTTTATTTCCACCATAGTCTATGGATAGAAAAGCTACATTATTTTACTTTGCTTTTTTATTGATAATCGGCGAATTGACAAGGGATTAGTAACTGGGTTTCACAAGAGGAAGAATAAGCGAAGAAAAGAAGCCCAGAAGCAAGAGCAGGCTGAACGCTGCTAGCGTATTGAACAGCGCAAAAACTTTTCCCTTTCTTCTCTAATTTCTTTAAATTAAAATGTTCTATAATACGCTGTTTTATTTTGATTCAGGTGTCTTAAAACTGCAGCTAATATTGTTGATTTTACTATTTTTTGCCTTCGTGGTTGAATTATTATGGCTGCTGTAGCATCGCTTCTAACAGATAAAGGAAACAGGTTCATTGATTTTATCCGTTGCCCTATGCAGGTGGAAACTAATTATCTTAGGCATCACAATTTGAACTTGATGAACTTACTATTGAATTGGTCATTTCTCTAGAAGCCAATCTGAAAGGATTGACACCATTAATCTGCCGATGAGATTTTAATTAACAAGCGAATCAATTGGCGCAAACATTGTGCTTCCGATGCATTCCGACCTCTGTATACACCTGTTTAAAGTTCAAGGAGATTATACTTACGTTACCCCGATTCTTTATTTTCCCTATAGTACCCATGTCCGACCCCTTATTGACCAAATATTTGGGCATGGATGTGAGGCATGATTCTCCAAATACATAGAAAAACTTAGAAAACATTGAACGCTCCATGTAAAACTCATACTGGTATCTGGCGCTCTCCCTTTTGTCCGAGTAACATAGGAGGATATGCAAGGAATTGAGAGATACCTATGCGAGTTCATATATATGCTAATAATCCTAGTAGATTCTAGTTTTCAGTTTTTTTGTTTGTTGCACCCTCTACTTAGTTTTATGTTGGCATTTTTCTTTCTCATCTAACTTGAAAATAATCGTAACTTTGGTTGGTGAATTCATCAGAGAAAGTTAGAAAAGGAATTTGCCTTATATGGAGGAGCACTTCCCAGCAAAGGCTCAGAACCTGATGGAGTTGATGAGAACAACGAGGATGATGAAGAAAGTGATCCAACTGCATCAGTTTCTGGTATTTTCTAATCCTACTAGCTGATGGATTGACAAGCTACTAAAATGTTTATCGACTATTGAGAACAATGATTTTCATGCTTTCAATTGCTCATATTGAACTGTGACATTTTGATGATGCAAAACATAAACCTGTTCATCTTATTATGTGGTTGGCTTTTGTTTATTGGTGGAAGGGACAACGAAATATGACGGCGAAAACACGACTGTCACTGTGATTACGAGCGAGATCTCGCTCAAGGAAGAAGAAGACTTTAACAGTGAAAGTACTCAAACACTGAGATCAGTTGGAGATAAAGTTGATAGAAAACAATCCTTGCCTGTGAGTAAAAGTAAACTCTTCAAGAAAGTTGCAAAACACAGATTTAAGCCACCAAGTAAAAGAGACAGAAATAAGGGGAAGAAACGGAACAAGAACAGGAACAAAAAGGTTGGTAGTCATGGATACCTGATGCTATTTCACGTGGAGAAGTGTAATACAAGTTTAACAACCTGAAGGAATTGGCAATCTGCAAGGAAGCCTTAGGTTATCTCCATCTTGCCTTTTCTTCTATTGCCTAGTATGAAGTTTATTTCAGCAATTTATAATTTATTCCTATTTCCCTTTTGAATTCAAATATGGAAGACGTTTTAAAATCCGGTTTTAAGTAATTTGAATGGATTATTTTTGTTCCACCTCCCACTAGCAGTATTTCCATTTTTTTCAATACAAGCAACAAGCTGCCAAAATCAAAGTTCAAAATTACAGTCGGTCCAAATCAAACCCAAAAGCTGAAGGCAGGAAAATGAGACACATATGGCAAAATTACAAAACTCAAAAGTCTAAAGATTATATGATTATAAATTTAAATAGGGTAAAATACATCAATCATTATTGAATTTTACTTTCTCTTTTATTTCACTCATTGTACTTTAAATCCGTTTAATTTCCTCATTGAACTTGACAATTATTTTAGTGAGTTTCAGAATTTTGACTTGGAGTTTGTATAAAAGTTTATTAAAGGACAAAGATAGAAATTGTATTCAGATAATTGAATTGAATTAAAAGTCTATAAAAATTTGAAGGAAGGTTGTTTTGGGTTAGAAAAATTATATGGATTTTTTTAATTAGTGAAATTTAAGTTGGATTGGTGGAATTTGGTGAAAATTACATTATAAAGTTGAATTGTATAATTTAGTGACTAAAATGAAATTTTGAAAAATTTGATAGCCAAAAAGGGAAATTGAGAGATGAGATTTTTACATCCAGTTAAGAATATTAAAATAAAATTAAAATAATTGCATGTAGGTAAAAATAGGGATTCATTAAAGGTAATTTAGACTTTTGGATTAAATTGAATTTTTAATTCAATTTAATTAGCTTTTAAAAGTCAAAGTTAGGAGATATTTGCTTAGAATTTTCAAGAAATCAACTTCTTTCTTCCAGCAAGTTGTCGAACCTTCATAACCAAAGGTGAGATTTTTTTTTTAATTTTTTATTCATTTTAATTAAAATTTGGACTAAAGTGTGAAATATAAAAATAATCTCCATTAAATTATCTTTCATTTAGTAGTAAAATCTCATGGTTTCATGCTTGATTTGGGAAGTCGTGAATATGGTGGATGAAGGGGAGATGTGAATTTAATGAAATAAGGTTGAATTTAGATGTTAGTAGTGTTATAGAATGGAAATCAAGCATGAAAATTGATTGGAAATCATTGGGGGATTAAAGTGAAATTTTTTGCCACTATGGGGAATTTTAGGAAAATGTTAAATTTGAATACTTTGATATGAAATTGATTGAGAATGGTTGAAATTGAAAGAAAATGAATTTTGGGTGATGAATCCATGTTGGAATCATAATTTAGATCTTGGGAAATTAATCTCCAAGTTCCGTCCATATACAGGAAATATGGGGAAAATATATAAAAATGTTTTAAAGGATTAGCTTGAGTATAACAATGATTGTATGTGCTTCGATTTGTGTTTTGGATCAAGTTGAATATCAATTGAGTTGTTAGAGACTGTTTCACAAAGTTTGAAAAATTATAGGATTATAAGGTAATTGTGGGAAAGTTAGAGTATCATGCTGAAAATTTATGGCTTGAATGATAAAATGTTGAATTATAATGATTACATGCTGGAATTTTAAATTTGGAAGTTGGTTGGAACCAAATTATAAGTTTGGCAAATTATAGTGGTGGAATTTGTAAAGTCCTAAAGTTTAGGGACTTGATTTCAAGTTCATTAAATGTGAAACTAGCATTTGGTTAAAATAGCACAATGCTGGAAATTTTATTAGTATGCTGATTTTTGGAGTTTGATTATAAGTTGGGAGCAATTTGCAAGTTTATTAAAATAAAGGGTTGAATTTGAAAAGTCTAATAAAGTTTAGGATGAAATTGTAATATCTTGAATGTTTAAGTTTCGGTTTGAATATTTTAATAAGGTTCTGGAAATTTTAGAAAAATTAATATGGAATGATCATAATTATGAAGAGTTATTATGAATTTAATGGAAAAGTTAAGGCGAATTCTAGGAAGAATTCATAATTAGTGGCCTGATTTTGTAAATTAGAAAAATTTGAAGGGTTGATGATGAAATAAATATTTATGGAATTTAATGAGTTTGTTTGAGAAGTTTAAATTTACAATTGAAGTATGATTTAGTTTTATATCGATTTAAGTTTCGATTTTATTTCTATTGAATTAATATTTAATCTTATATTATGTTAGCTCAATACTAATATATAGTTTGAACATTTTATGTTATTATATAACGACGTCATACCACAAAAAATCTAGTGATCCAAGTAACTCAAAGGGGAAGAAAAAAATGCGGGATTGAGAAGATTATCATGGAGAAAGTTCGATAATGAAGCAAATGTGAGTGCATTTAACTTGTATTTTTGTTATTGAAACAAACATTGGATTGCGATGAGCCAATGTCGGAATTACGTTAAGAAGTTACTCGTAGTGCATGAGAAGTGTACTTCAAGCTTATATGTTCAATTTGTAAGCTTATAGATTTAATGAATAAGTTAAGGATGCAAGATAGTGAAATATGCCCAGAAATTATGTTATGAACTAAAAGTTTAGAAAATCACCAGAAATTATAAAAAATAATAATTGAAGAATGAATATTATATAATTGGATTTTTATATCAGTCTAGTTTTATTTATAACAAACGGAAATTGATCTCGATGGATATATAAAAATATATTAATTTTTAATCGGTGATAAGTCAGAAAACAGGGCAACATATTTTGCCCAAAACAACTTCTATCAATCAACTTTGAAAATTCGCTATAAACTGTAAAGGTGGAACTAGATGGAGTTCCTTATATGGTTAGATTCGTATTCGAGTCTAGTTTTCATTGGTACAAATATAATAATTTTTAGGTATATAAATTAATACAGAATAATATTTGTTTGAAGGTAGTATAAACTGTCAGAATATGAAATTTTGATAAATTGTGTATTGAAAGTATTGGAATGCAAATAATTTAAATCTAAAGTTTAGTGAGACTTATATTTTGATTTAAAATAATAATAATAAAGTGTTAAAGTGAGTGCAGTTTATTTATTTGATTATTATAGTCGAGGATGACTTGCGATAAGTCAACCTCATTTTATTTTTCAGTATAATTTATAAATTTTCAGTATGTAATATTTCTATAATATTTTTCATTAAGTTTTATGAATGATTTTATGTATGAATTGTACAAGTATGCTATTTATGATGATGGATTCTAAATGTTTACAATTATCAGATGATTTTCAGTTATAAGATATTTACAGATATCAGATGATTATTGTTGAGTTAATCGAATGACGAAATTGGCCAAGAGGGGGGTGAATTGGCAATAAAAATTTTGTGGAAGCTTTTGCAGAAAATTGAAAGCAATTGCACAGCGATTTACAGTGGTTCGACTTTCTCAAACAAAGTCTACGTCCACTACCTTAGCTATCCACACTAAGGATTTTCCAACAAATTCACTAATTTGTTCTTTCTTTTGAGGCCAAAGAGATAACCTTACAATTCCCTCAAGAGTATACCCCAACTCTTGAGAACACTCTTTTCTCAAAGAGAAGATTACAAATTTGCAAACTTACAAGAAAACCTCACAAGGTAAGATGTTTGCATAATTCTAGAACAAAGAAAAGAACACTCAAAGATGAATACAATTGAGCACAAAAAGTGTTCTTGAAAGCAAAATGAATATTGAATGAAAATGGGCTTGAAATGCTCAAACTTGAGGTTTGATGCTTTCTCTTTGATTCTCTCTTGATTCTAGTTGCTTGATGTTTCTTGTTTTTGATCAATGGCTTCTAAGCTTGCTTAAATACACCTTGGATCACTTCTGAACGTTGGGGATAATTAGAGAAGATATTATAGCCGTTTTAGTGTGAAAACATTTAATAAAACAGCTTGGAGCGTGGGGGGAATCGGTTCCCTCTCATAGGGAATCGGTTCCCTAAGTGTAAAATTCAAATATTTCGACCGTTGAACAGGGGGAATCGGTACCCCCTTGGGGGGAATCGGTTCCCTCCGAGCATTCTGGAAATCTCGGAGCCAAACCATTCAGGGGGGAATCGGTTCCTCCTATAGGGGGGAATCGGTTCCCTCTGAGTAATCTGGAATTTTTGGCTTTGAATTGGTTCGAAATACTTTGTAAAATTATTTTGAAATTGTTTTATGATTAAAACTTAAATTTACACTTAAGTAAGGATCAAAAATGATTTTTGAAATATTTGGAGTAATGTTTTGATATTCGAATAGTTATATCGAATATACTTAGAAAATCATTTGGAAAATCTTAAAATCCATTTAACTTAATTTGTTATATCAAAATATTAAAATGTTTCAACAATCTCCCCCTTTTTGATATAACAAAACATTTTAGTAATTTTAAGATTTTTGAAATCAAGTTTTGAAATTACTCCCCCTTACTTTAACACTTCTTCAATTTATCATGTAAAACATTTAACACTCTTATTCTTCTCCCCCTTTTTGTTAAATCAAAAAGACATTGTAAAACAAGGTTTTGAAAATCATTTAGCCAATTGATTTATTAATTATAAGATTAAGCTGCTAAGATCACAATCAAAAGAGAGGTTAGCCATTAGTTTCATAAATCAATATTCATAAATAATGTGATATGGCAAAATTGGTCATGTTGCTAATGATAATGTAAATGATGCAAAAATGAATGAAATACACCAAACATATAAGTTCATACCATTCATAAATCCAAAATCCAACAATCCACAAAATCAAACAAATCAAAATGTTGAAACAATATTCATTTTGTTCAAAGTCTTAAAGTTAAACATAAAATCAAGCATCCAGATCGGTAGGAGGAAAACGGGCTCGCATAGCAGCCATTTCATGAGTTAGTTCATTGATACGAGCGTTGGTTGATTCATTGTTTGCACGCATCTCCCGAAGAATCTCTAATTGTTGAGCTCCCATTGTGGATAAATGGGACTCTATAGAGGAAAAACGCGAGTCCATGGTAGCGTATCGGAAATCGAATGTCTCCATAAAGGATTGAAAATATGGAGGCATTTGATGCGTTTGTTGTGCTTGTTCCTCTGACTGCTCTTCGGGTTGTTCAGGTTCTTCTTCAGCTTCATCAATATCCCTCATTAATTGTTCAAACTCGGGATCTTCGTCAGCTTCGGGTGGAGC